AAATGATTTCTTCTCTCATTCTTAAAATAAGAAAAAAGAAATTCTTTAAAAATAAGTCAAACAAAAGCTTAAAAAGAAGAAATAAACAGAAAGAAGTTTAAGAGACATTAATATGATGATATAAAGCAATGAAATGCTTTTCTCATACTCCTAGAAAAACCTAAAGAATATGTTCAACAAAAAGATTATTCTTTTTATTAAAAAGCAATTAATTAAGTATCAATAAAACTTGTTTCTATTGTTTTTGAATTAGGGAAGATTAATTCCTTCAATTTATCTTCTTCAAGATGAGAGGAGACTAATCTCTGAGTCTTCTTCTTGTAGCTCTATGGAGTATGTTTGGTTGTGATTGAAGCAGTGCATGACATCCATCATGTTTTGTATTACAAGTGTTTTAACTTCTTTAACGATGTCATTCTCAATTTTTATTTCTTTTATTAGTCTGATACTTTCTTTATTTATTAATCTATTTATTGAGATTACTACTCAATTTATTTTGTTTTAAATAAATAAAAACTCTATTTGTTTAAAAGACAATATAATAAATAATTTTTTATATTAGAATACCAAACAAATAAAATCAGAAAGTATCATAATGTCTAGTTTTTTATTGTTTATTAAGAGTGTGTTTATTTAAAATAATTTGTATTAATTTTGTAATAATACTATTAATGATTGTATTTTATTTTTAGTACGTATTATATCAATGTAATGAGTCTAATAATGAAATACCATTCAATTCTTTACTCATCAATTTCAACATCATTTCAATATTGAAAAGCTATTTAATATTTGTTTTATTATTCATTTATTAGAAAATAAACATACAATTCTTCAAAGAAAATATTCAATAAAACAATAATGGGTATTTAACATATTCTTTTATTTTTATACATCCATCAATCATTCAAAATGTTATTTAATAAATTATTCATTTATTTCTGGACAATAAAAACTATCATCAAATTCTATTAATTCAACAAATTGAAGTGTTTTACTATTATGGAATCAATAAAATAAAACCATACAATCACTATTCAATTAACTATTGAAAAAAGTGTTTTTGTTAAACCAATTAATTGTTTGATAAGTGGTGTAGAAATACTTGTAAATTATAATGTTTCTTTAACTTTCTTATTGTATTCAAACCAAATACTCAATCATTCAACTCAACAATACTTCACTTCCTTCTTAGTGAAATAGAAATTAATTTTAAATACATTATTGTAATAGTAAATGATGTGATTGAATATAATTGAACTTATTTGAATTTTGTTGAGATTCAATTCATACGAAGTATTTGGACATTCAACAAACTTATCATTATTCTCAAACATTTTTAGTAAATTTCATTCTTTA